CCCATTCTTCTATTGGATTCTTTACCTTTATCTTGTTGTGGTGCTCAAGTATTTTATAAATTCTGGATATAAGTCCCTTATCTGATATGTCATTACCAAATACTTTTTCCCAGTCTGTGGCTTCCCTTTTTACCCTATTAGAGAAGTTTTTGGATGTGCATAGGGATTTGATTCTTAGAAGGTCCCATTCATCTATTTTTTATCTTCTCCTGGTTGTAGGAGCTTCTTTTTTAAGCACTGGCAGTAACAGCAAAACCTTTTACTGTGGACAGCACAAATGTAGGAAGTCTCAGGTCACTGACATTTTGGCCAGCAACTGAGCATTTTAAGCACCTCAGCACCAAGGCTGCTTGATCCTAGTTACCCCATGGAAATCAAATGAATACTACATAAACAGTATATTTGGAATACAGGAGATTCTTTGTAATTTTCTTAGTATTACTGGCGGGCGTTGGGGGGAATGTAAGTAGACTATAACAACTAAATTCCAACATGACTAATTGCCCAGATCTTTCATAAATTAAGATTTGGATAGCCCCACAAGACAAAGAATCATAACCAACTGATGTTCTTGCTGAGGGCAGAGGTAATACAGTTGTGGAAAAAGGTGGTTTTAAATCCCAGAGCTATGACCATGTGACCAGTTGCAGAAACAAGGAATGTGAAAGTTACAGAGTATTTCTTCCTTATTTCATTACATTTATGTGTATGTATTTCTTACTGGCTTTTTTTCCCATTTGTACCATGCTTTATCCCATTGTTTATAAATAAGACTAAAGAGAACTTGTGCTATATCAGTTAGATACACATTAGTCATACTGCATTAGGAACAAGTATGACTTTATAATGGTCTTTATTTAGAAACTATGTATAATTTAAGGACATATGTGTAGATGATTTGTTAACAAAAAGGAGAATGTAATGGTTAATGTTTTCTGTTGACTGGGTTAAGTTGATTCCCAGTGGTTTGGCAGACATTGAACAGATTGCTCTTCCTTCTTCTTGTTAAGTGCTATTGAATCAACTTGTGTTGACCATATGAATAATGGCTCTGAACCTTGCCCTATCCTGAGCCAACCTCACCATCTCTGAGACACCTGACCCAGTTTTCACAGTTATTCTATCAGTCCATCTTATCGAAGCTCTTTTCTCACGCTGACCCCTCTACCTTTCAAAGCGTGATGTCCTTCTCCAAGGACTGGCCTCTCCTTCCAACCTGCTCAAAGTTGTGAGATGAAGTTTCACAATCCTTGCTCCAAGGAGCACCTGGCTTCTTTTTCGCCAGGACAGATCACTTTGTTTTCTTAGCATTCCATGGGATATTTAACACTGTTATCCACCTCCACAACTAAAAGGCATCAATCACTCTTGTGTAATTCTAAATCATCCAGCATTCAGATATGAAATTATCACCTCTGACATAATCAGCCAATCAGGTATAACAAAAAAAATTTTTTTTTTTTAGATGTGTACTACAGTCAATGTAAATGGATGTTCTGGCAAAGCTCTCTCTTACTCTTGGTACGACATCTAACTCATCGTTATCTGATCTGTTCTTGGGATATGAGAAAGCAGCAGCTACTAGACCTATACCAAAAAAACCAACTCATTGTCCTTGAGTCAGAACTGACACATAGCAAGCTGATTCTCCAGCAGGTTTCCTGAGGCTGTGAATCACGCCAGAGTTCTCACCAATTCGTGCAGACTGTGAACTAGAAACCTGCTGTCTAACCAGCCATAAATCAGGAAAACCCACCAGCCTGACACCTTAACTGCAGAATTAGGACAGCATGAGCCATTTCTCATTGTATCTGTGTTTATAGTCACATTCTTTACTAGTTTTACTTACCAAGAGAATACAGCCTTAAGAGACTTTTACATCTGATTTAGTACATAAGTACAAATAAAAGGTGATCACAAAAATATAAAATAAATATTGAAAGTTATAATTTGCTATCTTTTTTATGTGGTTGTGGTGTGTGCCATAGAGCAGAACTGACTCAGCTGGCCCTCCAGCAGGTTTTCAGAGGCTGTAAATCACTTGGGAGGAGACTACCCATTTATCTCCCTAGAAGCAGCTGGTAGATTCGAACCACTTGCCTTCAGATTAGCAGGGCAACTCCTTACCCACAACGCCACAGGAGCTCCCTTTCTTAAATAATAGAACTATTGGTTTTCTAATCATATTATTGCAGAGCAAATACTCATTGTGTCATCTTTGAATCTCTAAGTGAAATGAATGTAGGTTTTAAGATAATAGAATTCCCCTTTAAAATTAACATGAAAATAACCTGAGACCAAATTAGTATTCTCGTTGAAATAACTAATTTTTTAAAAATCTACCATAGCCTTGAAATGTAGATAAATATCACATAAGATTTTTGTTTCTGTAAAGTTGGTGATGATAATTGAATTTGATACTGGTATATTGTTCTGTTTTTACCTCTGTTACTCTAATGCTGAAATGTTAACCTTAGAATGGAATATAATAACACTGCATTTGTTTACAACAATGTATTTGTAAGTTTTATATACCTAAATAATTACCTGGTTTTGGTTATTAATTTCTTACATTTTTCTCAACAGTGTGTAGTCTTGACCGAGAGCAGACTTTCATTACAGAAGAAGATTAATGACTTTTGTCGTTCTCAATATCCTCCAATTAAGGTAAAAGTATCTAATAATGGCATATAGGTAAGCAGGCAGATAAGGACAGTTTCACTATCCAGAAATCTGTCTGTACATCATCAGTGGGTTGCCTAAAACCCCATATGAGAGCAATCACATAGGACTTTTATTATTGTAGTATACCTTTTCCTATATTAAAAAGGATCTCAGTTTGGCTAATGTTGTTGTTGTTGTTGTTATGTGCCGTTGAGTCATTTGTGACTCATAGCGACCCTATGTACAACAGCCCTAAACCGTGCTCTATCCTGTGCCAGTCTCACTGCCTTTGAAACACCCATCCCGATTACCCCAGTCACTGAATCATACCACCTCATAGAGGGTCTTCCCCTCCTGCACTGTCCCTCCACTCTACCCAGCATGATGTCCCTCTCTAAAGACCTGTCTCCCCTTACAACATGTCCAAAGTATGTCAGATGAAACCCCAGAATCCTTGCCTCCAAGGAGCAGCCTGGTTTAATCCTCTCTAGGATGAATCTGTTTATTTTCTTGGCAGTCCATGGTACATTTAATACCCTTCTCCAGCACCACAGCTCAAAGGTGTCAATTCTTCTTCCATCCTCCCTAGTCATTGTCCAACTCTCTGATGCATAACAAGTGATTGCAAAAACCATGGCCTGTATCAGGCACACCTTAGTCTCCAGAGAGACACCGTTGCTCTTGAGTACTTTAGAAAGGTCCCTTACTGCAGACTTTCCCATCACAATACGTTTTTTGATTTCCTGGCTACTGGTGCCAAGAGTGTTGACCGTGGAGCCGAGCAAACTGAAGCTGTGGACAATCTCATCTCTTCACCGTCCATCCTGATGCTACCGATTGGTCCAGTGGTGAGAATGTTTGTCTTCTTGACATTGAGCCTCAGTCCCTACTGAAGGCTGCAGTCCTTGACCTCTGCAGCAAGTGAGGTCCTCCTCAGTTTCAGCGAGCAGGGTTGTGTCATCTGCATAATGCAGATTGTTGATAGATCGTCCACCAATGCTAACAGCATGCTTCTGCCATGCTTCTCCTCATAGAGCCCAGCCTCTCGGATAATCTGCTCTGCATACAGGATGAATAGGAAAACTAATAAAGAACTAATTAGAAAGAATGAGTAACACTGAATCTGTCATCCATCTTATAAAATAAGAGTGATTTTCCAGTGATTAATTTGTTATTTGACAAATATTCATTGAGTATCACTATGTAGCAGACACAATCCTATGTAGACACAGACAGTCCTATGTAGCATTAATGAACAAAAAAAGACAAATATTCCCAGACCTATGAAACTTACCTTCTAATAACAATAAACAATGAAAATCAACTAAATGCATGATGTTTTTTTCCAAACAGTTTTAAGTCCTTTAAGGAAATACAAACATGCTGATTAAACATAGAACTTCATTTTGAGAAGAATTCTTTTTTGTATGATTGCAAGGCCATGAAAATCTTTATCAGGAGAAAGCATTTGAAGATGGCTCTGAATAGTGAGAAAGAGCCCATTATATAAAGATATAGGTGTGAACAGCGAGTGTAAAAAAGCCCTCGAAGATTAAAAATGAGCTTGCACACCCATGTTTATCGCGGCTTTGTTTACAATAGCAAGGAGTTGGAAACAACCTAAATGCCCATCAACAAATGAATGGGTAGAGAAGCTGTGGTATATTTGCACAATGGAATACTATGCTGCATTGAAAAACAAGGAACTCATGAAATATTATTCAAAATGGGTGACCCTGGAGGACATTATGCTGAGTTGAGGTATCTCAGTCACAAAGGGACAAATGCTATATGGTGCCACTGTTGTAGAATGAGGCTGGCATCGGGTTGGGGGTAAGGCTGAGAAAAACTGCATGAAATATGTTTACGGCATTGAAGTCTATGGGGGAGAGAATAGTCTAAAAGTATTATATTTTAGGGCATTATTTTTATCGTAGGAGTATGCAATGAGGGTTGCAGAGTGGATTATATTTGGGGGTAGGGGGTGGGGTTTGGGGAGGTGCGGGGGGGGTTGTGTACCAATGAGGGAGTTTTTCTTTTTGCTTTTCAAGGAGAGGAGCAAACGGGGGGGGGGGGGGGGGGGGGCGGGGAGAAGGGTGCAACAATGAATGAATGGAATTCCAAAATCTCTGTAGATGTTCATTGAAATGAAAAATAAATAAAATATTTTTTAAAATGAGCTTGGTAGAAATTATAAAAAAAGGGTAATTCCTATCAAAATTAAATCCACTTTTTCAGAATTACAAAAAATTACTTTACATTCACATCTGGATTAATCTTATGGGAGATAAAAAACAACAAAGTGGGAGGACTCACATTTTCTGATTTCATAATGTTGTTATAAATCTATAGTGATCTAAACAATGTAGTACTAGTATAAGGATAGATGTATAAACCAATCAAATAAACTGTAAATCCAGACATTAACATATACATCTTTTGTCCAGTTGATTTTCATTATGTGTCAAATCGTTGTTGAACCATAATCCAAGATTTCCAAGAAAGACACATGGGCTTTGGATAGAATAATACTTTCTTTACTCATGTATGTGTGCTGCTTTTACCCAGGGCAAGTGTGTTCCTGCTTAAAACTAAGGTGGCTACAATTGAGAAACCTCAGTCCCTCCCTGTTAGGAACAGACTGTAGTACTAAGAATGGCTAGGTGTTTGATTGTATACCAACATAAACTGAACAGGAAAGGAGTTCCCCTGATAAGGGAAAAGAAACCAGGACAGTCCTAGCCTTTTTTATCATTGAATGTTCTGGGTCCAAGATTCTTGATAAGAAAGGCATGTGAGAATCACAGTAACCATGAGAAATTGTCCACCATCCTCTCAACAGTCCACTAACCCATTCTCATTAGCATATTAGATGAGAAAGCGGTTGCAAGTCCTGGTAATACCCATCATTCATTCCAGATGACACCTCTGATTCATGCTATATCTCTGTACCACTTGCTTTATATTCTGTGGAGAGGGCTTTGTTGTTCTGAACTATCAAGTTACCTACAACTCATAGCGACCCAGGACATAAAAATAAAAAATAAAAGTAAGGACTTTTAACAGGGAAAAAAATGTGCATTCTTGTCCTAGAAAATTTATATATTTCTAGAAACCCACTAGGTTAAAATCTATAGTAGTGACAATATGATGTCACCCACCTGACCTGAGAGAGGTCAAGAGTGCAGATATGACAGTTACTCTCTCCATTTTTTGTGAAGTCTCATGGGAAAGAGATCATTACGGATAGCACTACAGACAGATTGTGAATCCACCCTCAGTCAGTGTGTTTGGCTGGAGGCAGGATGGGGGCAATATACTGCAATTGGGATTTCTTAGGCATGACTTAACCTAATCCTCCACTTTATCCAAGCTTAGTATTCCCTACCATACATTTCAGTGCTGTTGTGTTATCCTTTCACAAAAATGAGTATTTGATTTCCAATACAGTGATTTTTTCCTTGTTGATGATCTTTTCAGAATTGTTGCTTGAGTTGTTGTTTTTAGTACTCTTATTGCCCTTTTTGCCTGAGAGAGGCCTTTACAGGAACTTTATGGATCGTGGCTAAAAACAGAGAATACCGGAAGAATTTGTGTGGATCATAAAAAGTTACAGCTAACATTGAGAAGCATAGGAAACCCACAGCACTTATACTTAGATCAGGAGGCTGTTGTGCATATAGAGCAAGGGAACACTATATGGTTTAAAATTAGGAAGAGAGTACCTCAATGTTGTTTTCTTTCTTGATACCTATTCAATACGTATGCTGAGGAAATTATTTGAGCAGCTGGACTTTGTAAAGAGGAATGTGACATCAGGATGATTATGTAGATGATACAACCTTGCTTGCTGAAAGTGAGGACTTGTTGCAGAAAATCAATGAATACAGCCCTAAATATGGATTGCCTCTCAATGTCAAGACAGAGATTCTTACCTCATACCATTGGACCAATAGGCAACATCATAATGGAGAAATTGTTGAAACTTGTCAATAACTTCATCTTCCTTACATCCACAATTAACACAAGCAGTCAAGAAATCAGGAGACATATTGCACTGGAAAAGTCTGCAGTTAAAGACCTTTGCTTCTGGTTCAGGCCATGGTCTCTCTGATCACTTGCTGTGTATCAGAGAGCTGGACAGTGAATAAGAATTACAGAAGAATGGATGCCTTTGAGCTGTGATGTTGGAGAAGAGTGCTGAACATTCTACGAACTTCTAAAAGAACAAACAAAGAGGTTTTAGAAAATGGAGCAGCCAGAGTGCCCTTTGGAGGCAAAGGTGATGAGGCTATGCCTCATGTACTTTGAGCATTTTTGCCAGAAGGGGCTTTTCCTTAGAGAGGTACATGATGCTTAAAAAAGTGGTGGGTTAGCGATGGAAAGAAAAACCCTTGACCGGGTAGATTGATATGGTAACTGCTGCAATGGGCTCTAGTTTATCATGAAGTGAGGATAGCACATTATAGGACAGGGTTTAGATCTGTTGTTCATAGGCCCACTATAAGTCATATTTTATGGCATCTAACAACAAGAGCTGTCTCTGTGCTTTATTAATTATACAGAGGCATTTGTGTGAATCATAACAAATTATGACTAACATTGAGAAGAATGGAAAGTCCAGAACACTTACTTGTACTCATGTGAAACCTATACCTAGACCAAGAGGCTGTTGTGCAAAAAAGCAAGGGAACACTGCATGGTTTAAAATGAGGAAAGGTGTGTATTCATACCTATTTAATCCATATGTTGAACAAATTACGAATTGATGCCTTTGGACTACAGTGTTGGAGAAGAGTACATGGACTAGCAAGGAAATAAATATTTGTAGAAGGTATAGCCGAAATGTTCCTTGGAGGCAAAGATGCCTTGACCATGTTGCTACGAGAGGCTGTTCCTTGGAGAAAGACATCTTACTTGTACAGGTGGAGAGACAACGAAAGAGAAGATCTTTAACTAGACAGATTGACACAGTAACTGTAACAATGGGCTTTAATATATCAGAGATGATCAGATCATAGAGTCACTATGAGCTATACTTGAGTCAGTGGCACCTAAACACAACAACATGAATACTAGACTTTCTGGAGCCAGAAACTGGATGAAATTAATGCCCAGACATAGTCATTAAAACTAAAAATATCCTCTATAATTGTCTTAAAAACCAAAACAAATTGTCATTTAATTCTGTAGTGAGTTGCGTTATTAACCCACCACAGTATGAATACTGAGTAGTAGCTCCACGGGAAAAACGTGGGCATTCTCCTCTCGGTGTGATTGACAATTACAGGAACACAGGAAAGGGTCACTGTGAGTCAAAATTGACTCCACAGCTGTGAGTGAGTGAGTGATTTTTTTTTTAAAAAAAGTCTGCCTGAACTATTAAACTTTCTAAAGTATCTATATGGAACCATAGTGACAACAGCAACTCAGATCAGATAGAAAAATTAGGGGCAGTTTGACAGTATCAGTTAGAGGACCAGCTCAGGAAAAGATGATACTGACTGCACAACCCAAGGATGTGATCAGTTTCACTTCATTGTACTTGTAGAAATGGGTGAATTGATGTTTGCTCTGTATATTCTTAGTAACAATAGAATGTCTTAAAAATAGATGATGAAATGCTGGTGTTGCTTGTTCTTGAATATTTAATTTTGTTGAGCTGGATGTCCAGTCAGTAATTCCTAAGCCAGTCTACGCATCAGTGATTTCTCCTAATTGCAATTCACTTTCCCAAGAGATACAACTTAGAAATGAAATCATCATAAAATGCTCTAAGATATTTGAATATTTTTGTTTTCTTTATATATATATATAAATAAATAAGCCTGACTTAGTCTTTGTCATTTAACAGTTCATCAGTGCAGATGTACATGGAATTTGGTCACGGTTGTTTTGTGATTTCGGCGATGAATTTGAAGTTTTAGATACAACAGGAGAAGAACCAAAAGAAATCTTTATTTCAAACATAACGCAAGTATGGTTGGATTCAAGAACATTTAAAAAGAAAACTTTAAAAATTGATGACTACTATTTTCTTCAAGATGATACTAGTAGAATATTGCCCTGTGCAATGTTGTACAGTATAGAGGAATATTTTATTAACTTTTGTCAGTTTCTTGGTTTTATTATTTTACAAAACCAAGTTGAAGTAAAATTATTACTTGATAAGAGTATCTTAGATTCTTTCTTTATAGCATCATTTAATACTTAATAGATCAACATCTACATTTTGATAGATTTTTTTTTTTTAACATCATGGTCCTATGGACCATGATTTGTGATTTAATGATTTACTGTGTCAGAACATGGTATATTAAGCATGTAATAGGTCACCTAGCCCAGTTCTTACTAGATATACCAAGGAAGAGGCACACCTAAATCATTTCACATAAAAACGTTTAGAATCTGTTATATTTCTAAAACTATTTGAAAGGATCTTTGGTGCCCTAGTGGTAAGACATGCTTCAGTCCCAACAGCATGTGTTTCAAATCCACCAGCTACACTGTGGGAACGCTCTCTCCCATGCAGTTTACTGTCACTGAACACCAGCTAGCAGATCAGGTAGGATTTGGTTCTGACTCAATGGCATACAGCTACAATAATTTATAAGGAATAGGAAAAGCCTAATAGTCATTCTCCTCTATCCTTCAGGGAGCTCTGGTAGCCTATTGGCAAGAAGCTGCGCTATAATCCTGAAAGCACGAGGTTTCAAGGCCGCCGGTGGCTCCACAAGAGAAGGATAGGCAGTCTCCTCCTGTGTGATTAACTGCCTCTGAAAACCAGACAGAGGGTCAGCCATGAGTCAGTTCCAACTCAACAGCCATACACAACAACAATTCGGTCCTGCAGAGTTTCTGTGAATCAGGGTCACTCATTGGCAGTGGGTTGTATTTGCCGCATTGCCTTTGAAAAACCATCCTGCTTATCTTCTTTCTCACAGAATAAGTTCTTACTTTCCCTATTATTATTTCAGGAAAATTAATGGTTGGTCAGTGTTTCACCCTCTAATTGTTTTTAGTTCTCAAAAATATCATACTTTTAAAAAGAATACTTTTTAAAAGAATCTACAAGAATTAATATGAGTTCTTGTGTTCATTGATGTTTTCATATATTAAGAAGTTTAGGAAATGAGGTTATTCTTGGTCAGTTATGTTCCGTCAAGTTGACTACAAATGATGACTTAGGGAATGTTAATTTTACAACTTAATAGTAAGTTATTTCTTCTTATTAGCAAACCTACTTTGTTATTTTTATCTACCTATTTATGGGATTATTATATATTTATTCAAATTAAGCAGCAAAAGAATATTTAGATCCTTTAAATTTATAAAATTTCAAGAGAGGATACTAATTTCATTTGATTTTTATGTAAATTATCACTTTAGCATGGAAGATTATATGTAATTAAGAAATTTCTATTCTTTTACCCGTTCATTCATCTTCTTTAATAGTAAAAATCAGTCCCTTTCTTCATATCCTGATAAGCTAGAGTGCAGAATATTTCTTTATAGCAGTCTATAAGCGCCTCTGAAAAGCTGATTATTTTTTATTTGCATCAGAAGTCGTTATATTTCATTGATCTTCCACATCAGAAATATTTTAAATTTCTTTGTGGAATTCATAGCTCCCTTCAAATATAGAAATGATGCTTTTTGTGTTACAAATTTAAAACAAGTTCATTATTTGTAACAGTGCTTTAAAGGTTGATTTTATGTAAAAGAATGGTTTAAAATTTTCTTTTAAAAGTTTTATGGTATCATATGGTCCATTTTGTGACATTTGAAATTTATAGGAATATAAACAATTTTTAAAAGTAGGTGGTCCTTTTTATTTTTAGGCTAACCCTGGCATTGTCACTTGCCTTGAAAACCAGCCTCACAAACTTGAGACGGGACAGTTAGTAACATTTCGAGAAATTAATGGGATGAGAGGGTTAAATGGATCTACGCAACAAATAACTGGTAAGTTGATATATTTTGACAATAAGTAGAAGTTTACTGTGAGTAATTTTCTATAGATTCCTTAAATCATTACTTCTTGGTTCTCACACATCTCTCGTAATGCTGCGTTTTGTCTTTCATTTATATGTCATTGGTCTTTTTCATGAAAGTAATTGCAGAATTTCTTGGAAGCAGAAGTGGCATCCACTTCCAAAATGTCTTGCGTCCGGAAACTCTATGAACCTTCTTTTGTTCGTAGGATCATTATGAGTTATCTATGATTAGACAGCACTTAACAACAACAATTGCAGAATATCTTTCTTTCCCTCATCTTTGAATTTTTTTTTATATCTGCATAGTATTTCATTGTGTACTTAAATAGTGAGTCTATAGTGTGATCTTAATTTACATTTTTGTAAAGAGTGAGATTTCAAGTATCATTTCTTGAGAAATTTTGTTTTGCCTTTTTTATGACCCATGTGCCCTTTGCCTGTTTTTCTTTTATATTGTTGTTGTTACTGTTAGGTGCCATTAAGTCAACTATGACCCATAACAACCCTGTGAACAACAGATCTGAACCCTGCCCTCTCCTGTACCATCCTTATGCTTCCTGACACACTAAATTCCAATGTAGCAGTCACTGTGTTGGTCCACCTGATTGAGAGCCTTCCTCTTCTTTGCTAACCCTGTGCTTTTTTGAAATATGTCTTTTGACTTGCTTAGAATAGTCCCTTCCATTGCCTCTAAGGAATGCTGGATAATAATTTTCCTATTTTGAGAAAGGTGTTTTGACTTGCTTAGAACTCACCACATAATTTTTTAAAATATAGTTTTTCAGTATTTTTTACTTCTGGATTTGGAGCCATAGTCATAAAAAAACTTTCCTCATGCCAGCGTTTTAAATTACTATCTGATGCTTTTATCTAGGAATATTCTGTCATTATTTTTCACAATTAAAATTTTTATTTCGTTTAGAATATTTTCCAGATATTTTAGAATAATGTACCTTTTTCCTTCACTAGTTTGAGCTTCCAACTTTATTAACTAATCTTGTATATAAAAATAGGGAGCTTTAGTGGCTTAGTGGTAGGCAGTTATGCTGCCAGTGCAAAGGTACACATTTTGAATGTACCAGCTGCTCTATGAGAAAAAGATAATCTCCTTCTATGCAGTTTATTGCCTGCGAAAATCCACTGGAGTGTCAGGTGTGGGTTGATTCCAATTTAGTGGTACACAACAGCAAAAATATATTTTTAAAAAAAAAAGATTTACACCATTGAGTGAATTCTGTTTGATGCTCTCCATTAGCTTCCAAGACTAAATTTTTTTTATTTTTTTGTTTTATTAATTTTAATGAAAGTTTACAGAGACTTTGAATTTCCACTCATTCATGATTGCACTTTTCTCCCTGCCCAATTTCCTCCCCGCAGTTCACTCTTTGAAAAGTAAAATTCTTTCATTGTTATACAGTTTCTCCCCCCAGTTCCACTCCACTATGCAGACTTCCTTTTGAAAAGTAAGAAAAGTTCTTTCATTGTTATAAATCCCTCTCTGCAAGGCTCTAAATTTTGAAAGAAGAAATGGATTTTTTTTATCCCTAGAGGCTGCAGGTAGATTTGACTAGCTGGAGATGTGCAGCCTTTTGGTTAGCAGTTCAACTTTCTACAGACTTAACTCACAAGAACACCTTAACCTTACATGCTTTAATCTGTATTTGAATTCCTAGACTGTTTGCTCTTCTACTCATGAATCCTTACTGCATTATATTAATTGTTTTTGGTTATGTGCTGTTGAGTTGCCTGCGACTCATAGCGACCCTGTGTACAAACCCTATGTACCTAAACCCTGCTCTGTCCTTTGCCAATCTTACTGGCTTTGACACTACTAATTGATAAAGATTTCTAATATATTTTAATATCTAATAATGAATATCTCTCATTGTTAACCCTTCTACCCAAAAGTTTCTTTTCTATTTTGTTTAAATTTTCACGATCAGGCAACATTTTTCTTGGTATACCTGAGTTTACTAGAAGTTAGAGCCAGTTTTATAACAGCTAGCAAAAAAGTTCACACTGGAAAAAGTAATATGTCTGTCTTTCCACATTCTGCCTTCCCTCTGTATTGGGCTCTTTTTCGTTTTCTTCATTGTTATTAGGTGTTTTTGCAGTCAATTCTGATTCATTATGACTCTTAGATGGTATACCAATTGAAGTATTTCAGATAACAGATGTTGCCCTGGATGTGCTCACCAAGTTGTGTCAAGAAATCTGGAGAATAACCACTTGGCCAACTGACTGGAAGAGATCTATATTTGTTCCCATACCAAAGAAGGGTGACCCAACTGAGTGGAAACTACAGAACAATATCATTGATTTCACATGCAAGTAAGATTCTACTGAAGATTATCCAAAAACGACTAGAACAGCACATCAGCAGAGAATTGCCGGAAATCCAGGCTGGGTTTAGAAGGGGTCGTGGTACTAGGGATATTGTTGCTGATGTTAGATGGATCTTGGCTGAAAGCAAGGAATACCAGAAGAATGTATATCTGTGTTTCATTGACTATGCAAAGGCATTTGACTGTGTGTATCATAACAAACTGTGGCTGACTCTGAGAAGAATGGGAATCCCAGAACATTTAGTTGTGCTAACAACAACAACAGTGCGAAACCTATACTTGGACCAAGAGGCAGAAGTTAGAACAGAGCAGGATAACACTGCATGGTTCAAAATTGGGAAGGGTGTACTCCAGGGATGCATCCTGTCTCCATACCTTTTCAACATGTATGCAGAGCAGATTATCTGGGAGGCTGGGCTCTATGAGGAGAATTGTGGCATCAGGATGGTGGAAGATCTATTAACAATCTGCGTTATGCAGATGACACAACCCTGCTTGCTGAAACTGAGGAGGACCTCATGCACTTACTGCAGAGGGTCAAGGCCTGCAGCCTTCAATATGGACTGAGGCTCAATGTCAAGAAGACAAAAATTCTCACCACTGGACCAGTTTGCAGCGTCAGGATGGATGGCAAAGAGATTGAGATTGTTCACAGCTTTAGTTTGCTTGGCTCCACAGTCAACACTCTTGGCACCAGCAGTCAGGAAATCAAAAAGCGTATCGCTATGGGAAAGTCTGCTGTTAGGGACCGCTCTAAAGTACTCAAGAGCAACAGTGTCTCTCTGGAGACTAAGGTGCGCCTGATACAGGCCATGGTCTTTGCAATCGCTTGTTATGCATCAGAGAGTTGGACAGTGACTAGGGAGGACAGAAGGAGAGTTGATGCCTTTGAGCTGTGGTGCTGGAGAAGAGTACTGAATGTACCCTGGACTGCCAGGAAAACAAACAGATTCATCTTGGAGAGGATTAAACCAAGCAACTCCTTGGAGGCAAGGATTCTGGGGCTTCGTCTGACATACTTTGGACATATTGCCAGGAGGGACGGGTCCTTGGAGAGGGACATCATGCTTGGGAGGGTAGAGGGACGGCGCAGGAGAGGAAGACCCTCTATGAGATGGATTGATTCGGTGACTGGGGTAATTGAGATAGGTGTGTCAGAGGCAGTGTGGTTGGCGCAGGATAGAGCAGGGTGTTGTGCATAGGGTCGCTATGAGTCGCAAACCACTCGACGGCACATAACAACAACAACATGACTCTTTGTACAACAAATCAAAATAATACTCAATCCTGTACCATCCTTATAATCTTTACTATGCTTATACCTATAGTCACTCTGTCAGTCCATCTCTTTGAGGGCTACCTTCTGCATTGCTGACACTCTTCTCAAACCAAGGACCCTTGAATACCATGAGGTGAAATAATACTACCCATACCCATACAAGGAAAATCTATAAATACAACTGTTATTGAAATATATGCACCAACTACTAAAGTAAAAAATGAAGAAATTAAAGATTTCCACACACTTTTGCAGTCTGTAATTGATTGAATGTGCAGTCAGCATGTTTGATAATAATTGGTAACTGGAATGTGAAGATTAAAAAGAAGAAGGACTGGTGTTTGGAAGATACAAACTTGGTGATAGAAATGAAACTGGACGTCAGGTGATCGAATTTTGTATAATTATTTGTACATTCCAAATACCTTTTTTAAAAAACATAAGCTACACATGTCATCCTCACCAGATAGACTACACAGGAATCAGATTAACTATATCTGTGGAAAGATCATTGGAGAAGGTCACTCACAGCAGTTTGACAGTGAAAACAAGGACATCATCAGCTACTCAAATGTCATTTCAAATTGAAAATGAAGTATGTTAAAACAAGTCCACGGGAATTGAAATTTGATCTTGAGTCTATCTCGGTTCAATTTAAAAATCATTTTGAGAATAGACTTTATACCTTTAACACTAATGACCAAAGAACAAAGAGTAGTTTGATGACATTAAGAATATCATTCATGAAGAAAGTAAAAGGTTGTTATGATGACTGCAGAGAAAGACCAAAATGCATTTCAGAAGAGACTTTGAATATTGCTCTAGAATATAGGCAAAAAGAGAAGAAATGCTGAAGTAAAAGAGATGAACAGGTAATTTCAAAGAGCAGCTTGAAGAGACAAAGCAAAGTATTAAAATGAAGTTTGGAAAAAAATGAAGTTAGAAAATCAAAAGAAGGAAGGCTTGACATTCCTCAAGCTGAAGGAAAGAACTGGACAAAATTAAGCAATTGTGAAGGTTTCTAAAGGCAAATATTGAGTGATGCATGTAATATCATAAGGTGAAGAAAGGGCCTTTCTTGCCTGGTTCCAGCATTATGGCCCTGCTAAGAAGGGTGGTGAGAAGAAGGGCCATCCTACTATCAACATAATGGTGACCAGACAGTATGCCATCAACATTCACTAGTGTATCCATGGAGTAGGCTTTAAGAAGAGTTCCACTTGGGCCCTCAAGGAGATCAGGGAGTTGGCCATGAAGATGATAAGAAGACCAAATGTTCTCATTGATACCAGGCTTAAAAAGCCATCTGGGCCAAAAGAATAAGGCCAAACTTCATCTGAATATGGTTGTCCAGAAAAGATAATGAGGATGAAGATTCCCCAAACAAGCTATATACAGTGTACTGGTATACTATGTACCATTTTCAAAAACCTATAAACTCTCAATGTAGATGAAAACTATTAGCTGATTATGAAACACAGTTATGAAACTATTAAAAAAAAAGATGAAAAGAATACACAAAGTCACTGTAAGAACTGGGTGATACTGAACCATTTCAGAAGTAACTTGTGATCAAGAACCAGTGGTACTAAAGGAAAAAGTTCAAGTTACATTAATAACTTTGACAAAAAATAAGAGTGCAGGAATTGGTGGAGTACTAATTGTAATGTTTCATTGGTGGGGGTGGGATGCAGCCCTAAATGTACTCACTAGCCTATACCAAAAAGTTTAGAAGGCAATACCAAGACAACTGACTGAAAGACAGTCATGTTTATTCTCTAATTTAATAGAAGATAGAAATTATCAAACATATCATTAACATCATATGCAAATAAAATCTTGCTAACACTTACTATAAAACAGCTGGAACATTACAACAGGGAACTTCCAAGAAATTCACCTCAATTCAAAAGGGGCTGTGGTGTGAGGGTTAACATTGCTAATGTCAGATCTTGAATGAAAGCAGAGAATGCCAGAAGAAAACATTTACTTGTGTTTTATTGTCTATAGAAAAGCATTTGACTGGTAGATCATTAAAAATTATGGATCATATTAAGAAGAATGGGAATCCTAGAACACTTAAATGTTCTCATATGATACCTGTACGCGGAGCAAGAAGTAGTTACCCAAACAGAACAAAGGAACGCTGCATTATTTTAAAAATCTAGAAGGTATGCATCAGAGTTGTATCTTATTTCCATACCTAGTCAATATGTATGCTGAGCAAATCATTTCAGAAGCTGGACAGTATAAAAAAGATTGGGATCAGGATTGGAGGAAGACTCATCAACAAGCAGCATTATGCAAATGGTATGATCTGGCTTGCTGAAAATGAGGAGGACTTAAAATGTTTACTGCAGAAAATCAAAGACTATGGATTACATATCAGTATCAAGGAAACAAAAATATTCACTAGTGGGTCAGTAGCATTATAGAGAAAAGATTGGCATTGTCAACACTTTCATTTTACATGAATTCACATCACCATTGGTTGCCACATGCTGCTCTTTAATTCTTTGGAGAAGTCCCTAACAGCAGATTTCCCCAATGTAATTTATATTCAATTTCTTTTTTTAAAAAAGAACAACAATATCTTATTAAAGACTTGTTCTTGTTGTTATGTGCCATTGAATCACCTGTGACCCTATGTACAATGACTCTGAAGCCTGCCCTGTCCTGAGCAAGTCTCACTAATTCTGACACACCAACCCCCACTGCCCTAGCTACTGTATCAGTCCGTCTCATCCAGGGTCTTTCTGTCCTGTGCTGTCCTCCAAGGACTGGTCCCTCTGGGTCACGTATCCAAAGTATGTGAAACAGAGCTTCAAAATCATAGTCTTCAAGGAGAAACTGGTCTCACCCTCTGCAAAATAGTCTTACTTGTTTTCTTGGCAGTCCATGGTATATTTAATACTCGTCTCCGACATCACTTCTTCTGTCATCCTTAATCATTATTAAGCTTTCTGAAATAAAGAAATACGTGTACCTAATCCAAGTAATATTTTCTTTTACTCCTGTGTATCTGTAAGTTGGACATTGAATATTGATGACAGAATAAGAAATAAGGTTCTTGAATTACGGTGTTGGAGAAGGATATTAAATAAATCCCATGGACTGCCTAAAGAACCGACTAGTCTGTCTTGGAGGATGTGTAACCTAATCTGTGTTTCTTTAGAGGCAAAGATGGTGAAACTTGGTCTCAAAAAACATATTGTCTGAGAGGACCAGTTCTTGAAAAAGACATCATCATGGGGAAGAAAGAGTCAAAGAAAGAAAGACCTTCATTATCATAGATTGACACAGTAACTGTAACAGTGGGCATGTTGGAGATCATGAGGATGACACAGGATAGAGCAAGATTCAGGTCTATCATTCATAAGATCTCTATGAGTTATAGTCTGCTTGATGGTACGTAACAACAATAGTAGCAAAGTCCACCTGATGGCATGCCCGAAGTATGTGAGACAAAGTTTTACACTCTGTCTCTTAGGAACACCCTCACTATACTTCTTCCAAGATAAATT